TTTTTTTTAATGCTTCTGATATTGTTTTGTGATATTTTTATTTGTACGATGAATGGCAAAATTCGTAATCCATATTAGAAACTTTTTTCAGTGGCTTCTCAAAAAGAAAGAAATTCTTAGTAAAAGTTGCCGCATCCCCAAACTAGAAGAGCATATTTATTTTTTTTAATATACAATGTAACTTTTTTTAGTTCGAATTAAGTCATTCACAATACAAATAAAAATATCACAAAGGAGTATTAGAGATATTTAAAAAAATACTCACACTATTTATACTATTTCAAAAACGCTTTTGAAATGAAAATGATCTAAAGTTGAGAGCATTATGAGAACAATATGGTAATAAAATTATTATGTTACTCAAACATTTCTGAAAATATACTGAAACGTAAAACAAAAATATCGAGGGCATAAATGGAACATAAAAAGAATGTTACTGAAACCAATTTTTTGAAACGTTTCATTGGAAACGTATTTTGGGGAGGACATCTTGGGCTTCTAGAACGTTACCAGAACGTTGCATGGATTTTTTATGAAACGTTTCAAGAAAAATGGAAACGTTTCTGAAACATGTCAGAAACTGAAAAATGTTTAGTGGGTACAGAGAGAAACACTGGTTCAATCAAGTCTATTACTAATTTTATCAGCTTCGCCGTGGAAAACAAGACAATGTCAATGTTTATATTCATTATTGCCTTAAATCATTTGTATCAAATATTTTCGATGACGTTACAACCCCCAGGGCGGCAAATTTACCAAGATGGAATTTTAAATGTAATAGGTACTTATTATATCATTTTTATCTTAAAGAGCTTGCGGTTTCCTGGTTGCTTTTTCCTTCATTTTCCTGTAATGGCGGCCAACTGGTCTGAGTCACCCTGTATGTACATACCTAGTATAACACCGCTCCCGAATTCTAAGTACATATTTCGAGAAAATATGCCAATCAGTCGATGTCGTAAGTCGTAAAAAATAACGTTTTTAATATTGCACCCAGAGAAGAAAATCATCATCCTGGGGAAGCTACACAGCTGACATAACGCCGGGGCTAGCCAGTTAAAGGGGATATTATTTAGGTGGCGGAGCATAAAGCCATCTTACG